TTAAAAAAAAAAAAAAAAAAAAAAAACAAAAATGCATAAATAAAAAAATATATGAAATTATGAAAAAGAATGATCAAATTCAATTACACTGAGCAAAAATTTTTTATTTAAATGAAAAACATTTCTTAAAATTTTTTTTATTATTTTTTGTTTTATTTTTTTCCATTTATATATGTATATATATATATATATATATATATATTTTTTTTTTTTTTTTTTCATTGATTAGCACTAAAATGTTTGCACTAAATTTTAAATAGAATGAATTATTAAAAATAATGAAAAGCAAAATTTACATAATGCTAATCCTTTAATTTTATAGTTTTATTACACTTTATTTTGTAAAGTTTTTATTTCTCACTTTAAAATATTAAGCTTTTTTTTTTTTTTTTTTTATATACATAAATATAAACCTAAAATATATATATAAAAAAAGAATCTATTTTTTATAAATAATACTTAAAATTAATACTGCCTGTTAATGGTTTATTTTATAATGAAGTTATAAAAGAAAAAAAAATATGTATATATAGGATTTACTGAGTAAATTTTTTAAAAATACAAGAAATTTTATTACATTACAATTTAATAAATAATAAAACAATTATTTAATATAATTGATAAACACAAAATGATATAACAAAAATTTGTTAAATAGAAATTAATGTTTAATGTGGTTGTATTGAATTCCAGATAAATGTTGCTATAAGTAATAATAAAAATTTATAGACTTTTTATTTATGTATATGTTTAATTATTATATTAATTTTTTTTTTTTTTTTTTAAGGATCCTTTTAGTTATTTACAATTTTTAACACATAAATAAATAAAAAAAAAAAGAAATTTTTTCATAAAATGAAATTATACATAGGTTACTTAATTTTTAAAACTAATTTATAAAAAATCCTTTTAAAAATATCTTTAAATATCATTTATTATTTATATAAAACAAAAATATAGACATAAAATCTAATTAAGTATATTTTCTACAATGATACTATTTTTTCTATTCACTTCTGTTTTCTTTTTTCCTTAAATTTTTTTCTCATAATTAAGATTAATTAAAAAAAAAAAATAGTTAAATAACAGAGGTACTAGAAAATTTTAATATATTATAAAAAAAAGGAAAAGAAATATATAAACATCAAAATTATTATATAATTTTTTACTTTTTTTGTTTAGGAATTTATAGCTTTATAATTTTTATAAAATTATCAAAATATTTTAATTATCATATTGAATTTAATATAGATAAAAATTTTTAATGATTTTTTTTTTTTTTTAATTTTTTGTCTTTTTTTCTGTAGTTTTCTATTTTATTTTTATTTAACATTTAATTATATTAATTTTATTCATTTGTCTATCAAATTTATTAATCTTTTCTTCAATTTATCATTTAAGAATTTTACTTAATTATAACATATTTTTATATTTTTTTCCTTTTAATATATAAGATTTTCAATTTTTTTTTTTTTTTTGTCTTTTTTAATATTAGAATCACTTTTTTCATATATTATTTTTTTATCGTTTTTTTAAAGTATATAATTTTCTAAATATCTTTATATCTAACTTATCAATTTTCTTTTTATAACAATATATTAAAAGATATGAAGTTTAATCTAAAAGATATTGCATTAAACATACAAAAGGACAAAAAAAAAGAAGAGAAAACATTCATAAAACAACTAAAAAATATAGCTCATAAAATAAGAAAAAAATTTTTAAATTTAAAAATTTTTTTTAAATATGAAAAAGGAAATATATTATACTATGATGAATACTCTTATGAAAATAAAAAAAAGGTTAACACATTTGCACTGTTATCTCCAATTTTTTTATCTTTTTGTAACAAGATAAAACATGTTGTTATAACTTTATTTAATGATGCTTGTTTTTTTTATATTATGAAAAAGAAAAAAAAAAAATCTAAAAATATATCAAAAAAATTAGAAAAAAATAAAACTATTTTAAGAAATTTTGATCGTTGTATTTTTTTAAATAAGACAAAAGACAACATATCACATAAACATATAATAGAAATATGTAAAAACTATCTAATAAATATACTTCATGATATTCAAAATTTAGAATATGAAAGTAATAATAGAAATTATATGAAGGATAATAAAATAAAAAAAACTAAAAGAATGTTTATTAATAAAATAAGTAATTTAAATGATTTCGACTCAGATAATGCGTTGTATGTAAGCGATGAGTCCTTAATAAAAAAAATAATGATTACAAATAAATATGAAAATCATTATTTTTACAATAAAAAAAAAATAAGAGAAAAAAAAAAATTATATAAAATTAATGTTTATGATGAAAAATCAGTTAAAACATATTTAATAAAAAATAATATAAGTTTTAAGGAAACCGTTAATCAAATTTATGCATTTCATAAAAATAAATATCAATTAATATTTCATGTTATATTTAGTAGATTTAAAAATATATTTTTTCTTATTTTTCTAATTTTGTGCCTACTGCAGCAAATAAGAATTATTAGAACAAGTAATTATGTATATTTTGTTATTAGTTTTTACTTTTTATTTATCTTCTGCATATTAAAAGACATTCATCTAATTATACAAAAAATAAAAAATGAAAACAACATAAATAATAAAAATTATAAAAGGGTAACTCATGTTGGACTAGTAGAAGTCAAATATTCCAATATAAAAGTAAAGGATTAAAAGATAAAAAAAATTATTTATTATATTATAAAAATATGAGCATATAAATATATATATATATATATATATATATATATATTCATATTTAAGAATTAAATGAATATTTGAAGGTAGCATTTATATAGAGAAATACGTAAAATCAAATATTATTTTATAATTTTATTTATTATATGCATTTTTTTTTCTATTTTTTTTTTTTTTTTTTTTTTGTTGTTGTTGTAAATTTAAATTTTCTTGTTTATAATTTTTTACTTTTTTTTGTAAAAGGTAGGAGATATCATATATCTAGAAGAAAATGAAGAAAGTCCTGTTGATCTAATTTTACTTAAAAGCTGTGATAATGAAAAAAATATTTTTATTTCCTCAAAAAATTTTGATGGAAATACAGATTTAAAATTAAAAAAATGTTTAAAAATAACAAGAAATTTACCAAATATATATGATATTTTTAGATTAAAAATAAAAATAATAATTGAAAAGCCACATATATACTCTAATAAAATGAATGGATTATTTATATTACTAAACTACTGTGAATTTGTTCAAAATATTTATAATGATTTAATATTATTACAAAATATTTTTTATAAAAATGTTAATAATGAAGAGAACTATTATAATGAGATTTTTAATTATTTAATTGAAGATACATATATAGAAAATTCTTTTAATTGTTTAAATTTTTTGTTAAAAAAATCTATATATTTATCAGAATATGATCACAAAACAAAAAATTCTACTAGCATTTTAAGTGACACACCGTGTTCAGGTAATTTAAAAAATATTTCAAAAATAAAAAATAATAATAATATCAATAGTTACAACAATCATAGAAATAGTAGTAATTCTAATTTTATTAATGAAAAAAATTCTTCAAATTCTTTAAAAAACAATAAGGATGATAATATAGAAAAGAATAAATATATAACTCCTAATAATAACATATTTTTAAAAAAAAATGTATTAATTAATAGTAGTGAAAAAATTAGAACTGAAGGTTATTGTGATGCCTTTTATACTAATATAGATAATGATAATCTTTGTATAAATAAAATTAACAAAAATTACTTTAGTTTAAAAAAAAAAATGAGAGAAAATTCTTATATAAAATATAAAGAAAATATAAAAATTGAAAATATTTTATGGAGTAATAGTAAGATTATAAAAGGAAGTATATATGGATTAGTAGCATATATAGGAATAGATAAAAAAACAAATATTGTTGTTAGTAGGAAAAATAATATTTCATTAATTGAAAATGAAATAGAAAGCAAAATGAAAATATTATTAATCATAATAGTAGTTTTTAGTAGTTTTTTATGCTTAAGAGAAAAACATATATTAGAAAAAAACACTGTTGTTATGTTTTTGAATTATTTTTTATTACTATTTTCATTTATGCCTTTTATTAATAATTTTTATATATATTTAATTAGCAAATATTATTATTTTATGTTAAGAAAAAATAAAAAAGTTGATAAATTTACAATTTTTAATTATAATATAATTAATGAATTTTCTAATACGTATTTTCTTTTGTGTGATAAAACAGGAACATTAACTAAAAATGACTTACAATTATATAAGTTTCATTTTTTATTTGACGAATTTACAGTAGAAAATAGTAGACTTTTTTTTAACATTTTCTTAAAAATAGTTGATTTAAATCTTATTTTTAATTCATGCAATAAAATAAAGAACCATGTAATTTTAAAAAATATAGAAAAATTTGATATAAGAAATAATATAAATTTATATAGAAAAATATTCAATAAAATATTAAATTATACTAGTGAAGAAATAAATAAAATATTCTTAACATTTTTATGCATATTATTTTGTAATAATACAATAATAACCAATAAAAAAAAAAAAGATAAATGTAATACAGAAAAGTTTTGTTCTTTCCGCTCTACGAGTGTTGAAGAAAATGTTTTAATTGATTTTTTAAAATATAATGGTATGCGTATTTTATATAAGGATAACTCTAAAATTGTAATTGGCATTTATAATTCTATAAATACAGAAAAAAAAAGAAAAAAACTAGAACAAGACCATGGTAAAATAACTAAAACAAATCATAAATATGCTGAATGCAAAAAATTTGTATATGAAAACAAGGTATATAATGAAAATATTTTATTGAGTAAAACAAATATATACTATAGAAATTCCTTGAAAAAAGATCACAGTTTTAACAAATCAAACAGAACGTGTAATATTAGAAATATAAAACATTATAAAGATGGAAAATATAGGATTGAAACTTGTAGTAGTACTAGCAATGATATCAATTATTCAAAATATAAAGAAAAAAATTTTAAAAGTAATATAAAGAGGTATAATTTTGAAATATTAGAATTTCTTCAGTTTGATTCTAATAATAAAATTATGTGTACTCTAATTTCTTATAACAATAAAATAGTTAATTTCATAAAAGGATCAGATGAATATATTATTAATATGTTATCTATTAAAGAAAACAAAAAACAAATAAAAAAGTTATGCAAATTTTTTTCTAGTAATGGATTTCGTGTACTAATCTTTGCTTATAAAGAAATTTCTAGAAGCGAATATGAGGATTATAAAAAAAGTTCAAACAATTTAAATAAAAGTGATTATTTTCAAAACTCTTTTAATAAAAATATAAATATATTAGCAATTATAACTTTTAAAGAAGAAATTCAAAAAAATGCAAAAATTTGTTTAGATATGTTTAGAAAGGCAAATATTAAAACATGGATATTATCAGGAGATAAAAAAGAAAATATAATATCTATCTCAAATTCTTTGAATTTAGTCAATAAAAATAATTTTTTTTGCTATTTGAACAAAAAAAAATTAATAAATTTATATAAATACAAAAATAAGTCTATATCTAATATATCTTCTAAAAATTACTTACTTAGTGAATGTTCTTCTTCTAATCTTTATAAAAACAAATTTCATGATAATTTAATAAAATATTCATTTTATAATAATTGCAACAATTATCAAATTAAAAAAAAAAAAACTTTAGCATGTTCAAATTCATTAAAAAATACTACTTTAATTTCATTAGATATTTCGAATTCTAATAATTATAATTCTACAAATAAAGACTATATAAATAGTGACAATAATAATAAAAAAGGAATTGTATATAATACAAGTCAGGATGATAATGTTTTAAAAAGAGAACTTTCTTATTTATATGAAAATAGAAATAAAGGTAAAAATATAACTGATACTTCAAGTAATACTAAAGAACATGTATTAGATACAAATATAACACATAAATTTATTTTAAATGAAGATGACATTAGTGATATATTAAAAACAATGTTATATGACTACGATATGAAACAAACAAAAAATAAAAATAAAAATGAAAAATGTATAAAAGATAAATATGGTTATTTTAATGATATTGTGTATGTAATTAATGGTGATATAATAGATTATTATTTAAAGTATCAGCAAAAAGAATTCATGAATGTTTTAAAAAATTCGAAATGTGTTTTATTTTATAGATGTAGTTCTATTCAAAAAGGAATGATTGTTAGAAGTTTAAAAAAAAATACAAAATATAGTGTGTGTTCAATTGGTGATGATGTAAATGATTTAAATATGTTTATCGAATCAGATATATCCATATCATTATATAATTCAAAAAACGATATATGCAATTTATATGCTGATATAAAATTATCTGCATTTGAAGATTTGGCAACTTTATTTTTTTTATATGGTAACAGAATTTATAGAAATTTTAATTTAATTACAAGATATATATATTATAGAAGAATAACCTTTTTTTTTTTACAATTTTATTTTTCGTACTTTTTTAACTGTAGATTTTCCATTTTCTCAAATATTTTATTATTATGTTATTTTATATTATTCGCAGTTATTACTAATATATCTGTGTTATTGTCACACAGTGATTTAGGAGATAATGTATTAAAAACTAATATAATCTTTTATAAGTTTTTAAAAAATGACTTATTTTCCTTAAAAATTTTTTATAGCATACTATGGGTATCTTTATATCAAGCATCTTTGATATTTATTTTAAGTTACTACTTTTTTTTTGGGTTAAATTATGAAATAAATACATTAACAATATTATTTACGACTCATTTATTACAATCGTTGTGTTTGTTAAACAAATGTAGCTTAGTTGTATTTATAATTCATATTTTATTTTTTGTTATTTATTTTATACTATTAATTATCTTAAATAAATTTCATTTTATTTACTTTTTCATGAACTTAAAGTTATTATTAAATATGTTAATTTCTAATAGCATTATTAATTTTCCTTATATTATTTATTATTTATATAAAAAATATAAATACAAAGATTCTGAATTAAATAGCATGAAATATTTTCAAAGTTTTTCTTCTAATTGTGATCAAATTTTTAACATAGACACTTTCTCCTTTGATAATATAGATTTTAATATCAAGAAGGAAAATATATTTAACAAATATTTTAAAAGAATTTTAAACAATTAACTTCTTTTTAATAGGTTTTAAATTATTTTTATAATAAATATATATATAATATATATATATTTTTTTTTAAAATAAACATGCATTATATCTAAACTTCCTAATTTTACCTAAATATATAAAATATAATATTTTTTTTTTTTTTTTAAACATATATACATCGAATTTTTTTTTATAACATTTAAATATATATTTATTTATGTTTTTTTTTTTTTTTTTTTTTTTTCAATTAAAAAT